ACCCTTATCATAACTATTGCATTTTATACTTAATTTTTATAATCATTTACTTATTTATTCTAAATATTTAAGATAAAATATAAACAGCTAAAATATGCCTCAAAATGCTATATCAACACAAGACAATTCGTAAATAGAATAACAATGACTGCTATACAACTTAAGACGACTCAGTATAAAGTTTATTAAAAAACTCAGTATAAAGTACAACTCAGTATAAAGTTTATTAAAAAACTCAGTATAAAGTACAACTCAGTATAAAGTTTATTAAAAAGCTCAGTATAAAGTACAACTCAGTATAAAGTTTATTAAAAAACAAAAGATAGAGAAAAGTTATATTTAACTGTTGGATTGTTGATTGAAACCGAGGATTTACCTCTTAGACAGCTGCCATCTAGTGGCGATATTTTATGATACAATCAATTTATCTTTTGCGAGTTATTAGTTAAGCTAACCCAGTTATACTAATGTCAGTTGCAAGTTGAAATCAAAATCCAAGCATCTTGTTTGCGAAATTGGTGTTTTGAAAGATACAAAAAACTATTTGGTAGCTAGAGTTAAGAAAATTTAGGCTAATGCAGGATTTGGCTAAGGACTTCTGGGGACAATATCAAGACAAAAATTATCAAGCTTTATTAAAAAATCCAGGAAATTGATAAAAATGTCTTCTCTGAACTGGGACAGCAAACCTGATAAGCAGTCTAAGTTGGAAAAAGATTTTCACTAAAAATTATGAAAAGCATATTCTTGCTAATAAAATGAGAATTGATGATCCCAAGCTAGAAAATATAAAAAGAGTCCAAGTCCAAAGAGACTTAAACAATGGTATATTATTTCTAATTTACAGGGGTGTACGTTTAACTCTTTTCCTGGTTAGGCCATCTTCCAAGAACATTGAAATTAAATATAACTTAAATTATACATGTCTTAACAGATTTAAATTTTTTGTAGGTTTTATGAAGACTAAAGTTGGAGAAGAAAGGATACACGGAAGAAAGGATTGCAAGAGACTACAGTATTGAGAGTATTGGAAACAAATAGGAGAAAGAACAAACTAGATGATTTAAGAGATAAAGAATTGAAGACACATGTCTTAGTGTCACATGACTAGAGTTGGCACTGTTGTAATTGCAATGAAAACAATAACAGAAACAATATCTATTGTTATTGTACTAACTTTTTCGGAAATAATAAAAATACCTGTGTATTGTACTACTGTAAGACAATAACAATAAATATTGTATCGTAATTCATTTTCATAATACAATAACAATATCTGAGAAAAAATGTATTGTAATGACACACTACAATAACTGACACACTACAATAAATGACACACTACAATAACAACAAATATTGTATTGTAACTCATCTTTATAATACAATTTATTGTTACTGCAATGCAAAAAGTTAATTTCAAAATATATTTTATTAATAGTCTAGTCTCTGAGTCATGTGACCTTGAAATAGGGTACAGCTAATAAATAACTATTGATTCTATTTCTATTTTATTTACAGCAATACAATAACAATAAACAATGTTTTAATTACATCTCTAGTATTGTAATACAATATTATTGTAATGTGTTACTGTATTTAATTTTTACAATTACAACAGTCCGAACCCTACAAATGACTCCATAATAGAAGAGATTGAATTCAGCATTGAGGAAGAAACTTTAAATGACTCCGAATCAGCAAAAAGATCTCCAAAGTAAAAAGCAGAAACACAGGTATAGTTTTATTTCAAAAACAAAGTTGTAAATTTTAGGAGCATAAACTATTTTGTTGGAAACTAAATTATTATAAATATGTAAAAGAAATAATATTACATAAGTATTATCTAGGAATAAATTTAGAGATGTAATAAACATATCAATGAATGTTGGCAAACTTGTTGAGTGTACTGCAATTCCAGCAACAAAGTTCAATGTTGGTGTATGACCTCATTTGGCAATTTTAATTGAGGCTTTTAAAGCTGGAGGTATAGAAATGGATAATATACTACAATTTCTAACACAAATAGTCAACATTCCAACTCGTTTTCCAGACAATCTGAATCATTTACTTTTTCTACTTAACTTATGTTTTGTAGTCTTGCAGAAGTGTTCTCTGGAGCTGTCGTCTATACTTTCAAAACTATTCAACAAGTGCTTATCAGAGTCTCGTTTTCTGACCTGCTGGAAAGCAGTATTAGTTATCCCTATTTTCAAAAATTCTGGAGAGCAATCAGACTTGCCTAACGACCATCCCATTATTCTTTTTGCTATCATAAGAAAAGTTTTTGAGTCTTTAATTAACAAACGCTTAACCTCTCATTTTGAATCTAATTACTTTTTGATCATCAATATGGATTTCGGTCCTCTGGTTCTATTAATAATCGGCCGGAAAGTAGGCCGGAAAACGAGACTCAGTAATTACTGATTTGTTAACAGTAATAACTGATAGGTTTTATCATGCATTAAATAGATTTGGAGAGGTCTCCAGTGACTCTCACCAATAATTACTCACCAACATCACTCTCAACATTTCTAAACTTTGATAAAATTTGGCATGCTGGTTTTCTCCATAAGCTCTCTTCTTAGGGTGTATCAGGTAACATCTTTAAAGATATTGATTTTTTCCTTACCAATTCATAGTACAAAAATTTTCCTCGATGGACAGCACTCTTCATATCCTGTAACTTCAGGAGTTCCTCAAGGTTCCATCTTTTAATATTTTGGAGAATTGTGAAGGCTTTGTTGTAAAATAATTTGAAATTTAGAAAAAAATCTATGAAAGAAGATATACTATATACTTTGTTATTTGCTTTTATATAACTATTTTAATAATGTAATAATTCAATTTAATTATATATTTTTGAAAAGTAATTATTTTTTTTAATAATTGACTTTTTTTGCTTGCTGTAAAACAAGCTATTTTTTTACAGGTATTATTAGGCGTGATTATTGCTGCTGGGTGAGACGCCACTGATAGAAATAAACCAGTTCTGATTGAACTACATATTAAAGTTTTTCTATATAAATAATTAATTAATAATTACATATACAAAATTACAATATCTTATATATAATATAAATATACAATACTTTTTTATTTTAAGCTTTGTTTATTTCTTCATTTTCCACTTATGTAACTTTGCTTTTTTTAGAGTACAATAAAGGTATAATTTTTTTTTTTTTATTTAGTTATTTTTTTACTTTTTTCCATTATATAAAAAAATTTAAAAATTTAATAAAGTTATAATTATTTTAAAAAAACTTATAAATTATAAGAAATAAAAAAAAAAATGTAAAAAATAATAAATACATCAGTTAACTTGCATTATAATTTTCTAAACAATTTTTTTTTTTAAATAATTTTTTAAAAACTATAATAAAAAAGTTTATTATAAAGTTATTTATGATAACTAAAAAAAAAAAAAGCTATTATTTAACAAAAAAAAAACTTACATCATTAGGTTGGATAAGCTCATGCATTCCCACTGGAGTCCATTTGCAACTTTCCCATAACACTGCCTGAAGTGATGAGAGTAATGCACGAATATTTCTTTCTTTACCATCAGACCATTCACGAATCTAAAGAACAAGTATTAAATAAATTCTTGAATATTAAAAACATTTTATTATTACTACAGTTAATTAAATTTTGAAATTAAAAGGACAATGCAGAAAACTCCTAGTTTGTTTGGCACTTAATAGAAATTCCCACTATTCCGAATGAATTTTTAAACAAACTCATAACAATATCCTTCAGTTATTTCTGCAGTTATTCAAAACTTTATTAATTCAAAGTGATTTCAATCTCTAAGTCTCATATGGAAGAGGAGACAAACGTTTTTTTGAAAAATAAAAATAAAAAAACATTTTTTTAAAAAGCTGTAGAATTTTTTTATTTTACAAGAAAAAAGTCATATGTAACATTTCAAATGTCAGCTTCATTTTTATATCCAAATTATGTGAAATTTGATTATGTAAAGTAAATTCTTATTGCCTGTAGATATTTGAATAACAAGTTGTTTATAGCAAATAAATGAAAAAAAAAAAACCTTTGATTTAATTGGATCTGTACTGGTTTCTGAATCCTGCAAATTGCGTAGCTGTTTTAAAGTGCTTTTTTGCAAATCATTGCTTGATGATGTGCTTTTAAACCCTTGAGCTCCAAGTATATCACTAAACGCATTATTGTTAACCACTGGTTTAGGAGCTACAATTAAATTAAAATATATATATATATATATATATATATATATATATATATATATATATATATATATATATATATATATATATATATATATATATAAATACATATATATTTATATACACACACATCTATAATATTTTGGAATAACTAAATATAATTTGAAATTTATATAGAAGAACCTCAACTGAATTTTTTTTAAATAAAGTTATAAAAAATAAACATACCCCAAGGACTTTTTGAAGAGGCTTGTGTTGAACTTGGACGACTAAAAAGTCCAGAATCATTTGGTGTAACAAAAATGTTATAGTTAGGACGAACACCTGTTTGATTTTGTTTGCTGACCACTGGAGAAATACGACCTGATTGTCCAATAGTGGTAACATTTGGTACTTGATTCTTCTTAAGAGAAGATGCTGTTCCAAAATTATTGGAACTACTAAAATTTGTCAAAGCAGCAAAAGGGTCATAAGATTGTTTATTTTGTTCACTTAATGTTCCAGAACTTGAGGAATGAACAATAGTCTTTTCAGGTTGAAGTGTTTCAGTTAAAACAGTATCTCCCCAATCAAACAAGTTTGAATCACTGGAACTTTTCAATGTGGTTTGTTGGGCTTTTAATGAGAAAGAAGGTGTAAACAATTCTGAATTATTTGTAATGTTTGAAAGAAAGTCAAAGTCACCAATAGTCTTCTCTGAAACATCAGATGGCTTCTCTGATTGCACAACACCTGAAGAGACCTGATTGCTGATTTTGTTTTCAGCATTAATAAAATCAAATTCAAAGTCTTTAGCAACGTCAAAGTTTAATAACTGACCAGTGTTGTCTTCTTTATTCAATGCTGCTGCTTTTACTGCTTGTGAAGTGCATGGAGGTGTTTTATCGAGTGGAGTGAAAGTTTCGGTAATACTTATTTGTGGTAATTCACTCTCAATTAAAAGGTCATTATTAAATTTAGAAGGGGACTTAATAGAGTCATTATTGCTAGTTTCTGTTTCAGACATAATGTCAATTAAGTTAAATGTAGTCAATGAAACATTTTTTTTATTTTCAACAGGATCATTAACTGGTTGCTTCTGATTATCATTCTCCCATACTAATGAATTAAAAAAATTTGATTCTCCAACTTTGCGAGTTAAATTATCAACAACTTTGCGAGAATTATCGACACATTTTGCAGTTTCTAAAGAAGAATCTGGAGATTGGTAATTAAAATTTTTAGAGGAAATGTTATTTGAAAATTGCTCGTCGACCTTTTTTTCACTAAGCCCTGAAAATAAAAATGTAGTTGCACAGCTAAGATATAGCTATATCATCATCATCATCATCATCATCATCATCATCATCATCATCATCATCATCATCATCATCATCATCATCATCATCATCATCATCATCATCATCATCATCATCATCATCATCATCATCATCATCATCATCATCATCATCATCATCATCATCATCATCATCATCATTATCATCATCATCATCATCATCATCATCATCATCATCATCATTATCATCATCATCATCATTGTATTAACAGCTACTCACCAAAGTCTTCATGCAAAACCCAGTATTCTTCTTTAGATGAAAAGCAAACATAAGGGTTTGTTTTACTTGCGCATATTTTTTCCCATGGTTGTGTACAACTTGCTTCAGGAAGATCCTCAGTGAATTTTAAATTCATGATAACTTCAAAATTTGATGGATATTTGTCTATATTTATATCTTGAATATCTATTTTGGAACTAAGATAAAAAAATATAAAAAAACATTTTGAACAATTTATTTATTACTTTGTTTTTTTTTTCTTTATTAATTAATATTTACTCTATTTAACATAAATTTAATATATCCTAAACTTACTAAAGTATTTTAACTAACTAATATAAATAATAAAATAACTGACTTAAAACCAATAACAAGTAAGCAACAATTAAATTTACAAAAATACAGATTAAATCTTTTTTTATATATATTTAAGTATAATTTTCAATTTTAACAATAATCAAAGAACCAATTGTTACTAATTTTTTACATTTAATTATCATTATTATTTTAATTAATTGTTTATATATTGTTTATATAATAAATGCTTTTATTATTATTTATTACTGATATTCAAGATTATTTTAGATTTCAAAGTTCTTGATGACTTCTACTAGAAAGATTAGGGTACAAGGACTTCTTCTTGTAATGTTTACAAGCTCCTCCAAAGAGGAGCTTATAAGGGTAATGAGCTTTTCCCTTACTTAAGAGTTAAATTAAGAGTGAGAGGTTTTCTTTTTAGATAAAAGCTGTTGATTAATATGAAGCAATTATTCTCTACACCTAAAAAACAAAATGAAATTAAATCTTCTACAACCACTCACTTGTAATGAAAAGCTTTGTAATAGTATTTATATATTCAAGGAGTATATATTTATGATATATTTTAGTATATATTTAGAGTATATATTTTATATATTTAAGGAGTAAATACTTTTTAATGAGAACATCAAAAAATGACAATTTTGTTCTTTTCCCATAAAAAAAATTAAAATTTTTATGTCATTTACTGAGATTTTTAGCTTTTTTGAGCTTCAAAATCACAACTGTCATCTACCTAATGGTTATATAAAATGGAGGAATGGCGAGGAGTAATTATCAACTTATGCTTAACAACAGTCAACATGATAACAGAACAATATGTCAACAGTCAACATGAATGTCTCATAAAATTTTCTAAAATAGGGGTTAAAGGAAAATCATCTAATTGATCATTATAAATAGATGGCAATGTCATCTAACTAATATTTTCCAATAAATAACAATCAAAAACTGAATGAAATATCTTTTTATTAATAATGTGTGTGTGTAAATAAACTAGTAAAAAGTCTTACATATTAAATTTAACTGAAGTCTCTTCTTTGAATAGGAACCCAGTATGAAATTGTAAAGTGAGAATATTTATTGAAGTCAACTTTCCTTGTACTTTCCCTCCAAGTGTTGACCTACCATGATGAACCAATATGGTTATATCTCCATTCAATCGAACATGTGTCTGAAACACAATTTGACCATCATTTACTGTGTACTCCCTACAAACGTATTTATAAATCATATCAGTTTATTTATTATTTTATGAGATGTAATTGTAATGTAATTATAATGTAATGTAATTATAAATAATAAAAAAAATAATATTAGTATTGGAATTTTTGAACCTTTAAATCACAACTTTTTGATGTTGGAAAACCATAACCTTTTATGGTTGTGCTTATAACAAAAATATTGAAATTAAAAAAAAAAAAACTTTTATTAATTTTTGTAAGTGAAAATTCTTATTTGTGTTTGTGTAAGTTAAAATTATTTTTTTTTAACTTTTTGTTATGTGCAGAGGCTGTTTTTAAAATTGATTAAAGTTTTGTTTTTGTTTTCTAAAAACATCAAAAAAGAAATTAAAAAAAAAAAAATAATGAAAGAAAATATAATTGCCCCATCACAAACCCTCAGCCAAAGTAGCGACATACTTTGCAACAGTAGGCTTTAAGATAGTTGATATATGTACTGAAGCCACTGGCAGCAGGCTATTTCAGTATGACATCACAGTGCTTATCTAAACATGCATTCATAGTTTTATATGTATGTGTGTGGGTGTATGTGTGTGTGTGTATATATATATATATATATATATATATATATATATATATATATATATATATATATATATATATATATATATATATGAATGCGTGTTTAGGTAACATCAATGATGGCACGAAATAACCTGCTGCCGGGGTAATAATAAGCTTCAGTGCACACATATAATATTTTATAGCCTGCTGCCAAAAAGGAGTGTTGCCAGGTTGACTGAGGGTTTGGCATGGGACAGCAACTTTTTCTTTCATCACTCTTTATTTTTTTCTTTTTCTAAAAACGCCATATACTATAAAACATGCTATAAAAAACTAGAAACAACTTGTTATCTATATATTCTAAGGTATATTTATTATATGTATTTTATATATATATATTATATACATATAATTTATATATATATATATATATATATATATATATATATATATATATATGCAATCTTTAAAAGTTATTTTCTTGTTATATGATAAAATATAAGTAGAATTCAATAAATATTGTTAAGTATATACATTTGTTTTTATTTAATATATATTTTTCAATATATTGCTGTTCTCCAAATTTAAACAATACATTCTGCAACAATAAGACAAAACTTTCATCAAATAAAAACCTAGACGACTATCAACTAAAATGTTCATGCAATTTTATAAAACGAAAAAGAAAATTATTTCAAAGATATATTGAGCACTAGAAAACGAGTTTGAAGGAAAATGGTCCAGTTTGGGTGCTACTGAACATAAAAAATTATGTCAAGATACATTTGACTAGTTACATGCAAAACCATATCAATTGATCCAGAATAACATATTCTGAAAAATCAAGAATCACATGAAATAAACAGAGCTAAAGTTCGACAAGAGATGAAAAGTGGCAAAAAAGTTCTTAATAGGGATGGCGATAATGAAACAACAAAAACTTGGGGGCCATTTTTTATTAGATTGTTTGACATCAACATTTAAAAGCCTATTGTATTTTGTTATGCTTTTTTCAACAGTTTTTTTTTTTATTGCAGCTATTTTCTTTGTAAAGATTTTTATTTATTATACCTGATGATGCTGATCACAAGAGATCAGCAAAATAATAAACAATATATATTAAAATAAACATATATACACTTTTTCAAAAAAGTTAATATGCAGCCGTATTTATTGAGTTCTACATATACACCCATATATATATACCATATATATATATATATATATATATATATATATATATATATATATATATATATATATATATATATATATATATATATATATATATATATATATATATATGTATACCCTTATACATATATATGTATACCCTTATACATATATATATATATACATATATATATATATATATATATATATATATATATATATATATATATATATATATATATATAGGACGATAGAAGGTCTTCGCAAATGGCGGTCGCGTTTTTTTAACCGTTAAAAAAGCTCAAGTGAAGGTAAAGAATAAAGTTAAACTCAAATTAAAAGATAAATATTGTTTTTAAAAAAGTCACCTTTAAATCATAATCACCAATCTTAATCAAGTCAATAATCTTATAAATTAATTTAAAACAAAACAAATCAAAAATTTACTAAAAGGTAAACAGAATTTCGAACTAAAAAAAAAAAAGAAAAAAAAGAAAAGAACTCTTCCGTAAAACAAAAAAAAAAATAAAAAAATAAAAAAACAAGAGAGAAAGAAAAAGTTAACCAATAAAAAGAAACAAAAGAAGAAAAGAAGAAGGAAAAATAAAGAAAATTACAAACAAAGAATAAGAAGATTGGTTGTTTTATACTTTTTTTTAACGATTTATTTGTAATAATATACTATAATTTTTTGTGTTTCTAATTTTATTATTATTAATTTTCTTGAATTATATTATTATATTTTAAATAATATTCTTTTATTATATTATTATTTTTCTTGTATTTTATTATTATTTTTCGTTAATATAGTTAATAATTTTTTGTTTGATGTTTTTTTTTGTTTGTTTTTTTTTAGTTGTTGTATCTTTAATTGTTATTTATTTATTACACATATATTATCTGCTATTATATTATTTATTATTAAATTAACTATTTAAAATTCTTAATACTATATATTTTTTATGATTACTGGTTAATTATTATATCCTTTATTTTTAAATTATACTATATTTATTTATTATTGATTTATGCCATACTTTATATGTTATTGCTTTGTTTTTAACTTATATTTTTACATGGCAATTAAGTACCATTGTAAGTTCTGCAATAAAGCAGTGGCCAATCATCAAAGAGGCATTTTTTGTGATTGTTGTTCTTCTTGGGTTCATGCTAAGTGCAATTCAATCAACAAATTTTCGTATAACCTTCTTGTCAAAGACACTTCTGACTGGTATTGTAGTGATTGCATAATTAAGAATATGCCATTTAGCACATTTTCATAACTTAGAATTTTCTTTAACTGTATCATGTCAGACTCGACCAACTAGTACCTTAAATTCTTTAGAAAGTCCATTACAATTTTACAATTTTTTTAAGGATATAAATAAAATCTCTAATACTTATTTCAACTGCAAATACTACGATATTCTTGATCTCAATAAAACTTTAAAATCAAATTCTGAATTGTACCTTCATCTAAACATTGGTTCTTTGCACTTTCATATTGATGAACTTCGCAGTCTCATAAGTTCACTTACCATTTTTCCAACAGTATTTGGAATTTCGGAGTCTAAATTGTATATTAACGATCCCAATATAACTGACATTAGTATAAATGGTTATAACATCGAACAATGCTCTACTGAAGCTAAAAAAGGAGGTGCTCTTCTATACTTAAAATCCGATCTAAACTACAATGTCAGAAGAGATCTTATAGTATATGCCCCAAAATTTCTAGAATCTATCTTTATTGAAATTGTTAATCCTTTTAAGAAAAATATCATTGTCGGCTGCATATACCGGCATCCTTCAATGAACCCAAAGGAATTTATTTCTGATTATTTTAATCCTTTACTTGAAAATCTTAGTTATGAAAATAAACAGGTTATGTTAATGGGTGACTTTAACATGGACTTACTAAACTACAATGAATCCCTTATTATATCTGATTACCTTGACTCACTTTGCTCTTATTCTTTTTACCCAACAATAATTCAACCAACGCGAGTAACCTGTAATTCTAAAACAATTATTGATAACATCTTCTTAAATTTTCAAATTCCTAATCTTATTTCTGGTAACGTAACAATATCAATTTCAGATCACATGGCACAGTTTGTTTGCATTCCTAGTACTCCTTTAAAAAGAAAAAAATCCATAACAACTAAACGATCATTTAAGAATTTCAATGATTTATTCAGGATATTTCTAATATTGACTGGAAGTTTTATATCAGAAATGGTGATGATGTCAATGAATCAATGAACTTCTTTTTAAAAACATTCAACACAATTCTTGATCGTCATGCCCCATACAAAAAACTAACCAAAAACCAAGTTAAACTCAAATCTAAACCTTGGATTACTAATGGAGTTCTGAAGTCAATTACAATTAAAAATAAGCTCTACAAAAAGTATATAAAATCTAAAAGTTGCAACACAAAAAGTCAACTATTTGATAAATTTAAATTGTACAGGAATAAAATTAGCAATTTATTAAGAATTTCCAAAAAGTCATACTACATCTCCTTCTTTAACAAAAACTTCAACAATATAAAAAATACATGGAAAGGAATAAAAGAAATTATTAATATCAAACCCTCTACACCAATTAAATCTTACACTCTTAAGTCTAACGGTTACACTATCTCTGACAGTATGGCTGTTGCTAACATTTTTAACAAATACTATGAAACAATACAACACCCACCCAAAAGTAAAATGATTTCTTCTAAAAGTATCTTCTCTGACTATTTAAAAAATGCTAATTCGAATTCTTTCTTTCTTAATCCAGTGACTGAAAATGAGGTATCTAATTTAATAAAAAATAGTTTACAAAATGGTAAAAGTTTTGGACCAAATAGTATCCCCACACACCTTCTTAAACTTACTTCTCATGTTATTTGCAAGCCTCTCTGTACCATATTAAATAATTCTTTTAATAAAGGTCTTTTTCCAGATGTTTTTAAGATAGCCAAAGTTATTCCTATCCATAAAAAGGGTTCTCTAATGGATCACAGAAACTATCGACCGATTTCTCTTCTATCTAACATTAGTAAACTATTTGAAAAAGCCATGTACAACAGACTTTATAGCTTTCTTGACAAAAACCAATGTCTTTACAAACATCAGTATGGGTTTCGTAACAAACACTCCACGACTCATGCACTTATTAAAATAACTGAAACTATTAGAAATGCTCTTGACAATAAGCTTTTTGCATGTGGAGTGTTTCTTGACTTAGAGAAAGCCTTTGATTCTGTTGATCACTCCATCCTCTTAAAAAAATTG